TAAAATGAACGTCTTCCCGTTTTGTCTTTCAGAATAGTTCTCGGTATCCAGGAAACAGTGAGAGGCCCAGCCCTGGGGCAAACCGGCTTCCAAGGAAAGGTCCCCGGTGCATCGGAATCCCGACCTCAAACCTTCCTGACTGGAAGGTCCAGAGGCAGCCAGGTTAAAAGAAGACCAGCCGGTGGGCAGCGAGGGCTGGGGGGAGGGGGGGCGCAATTCGGAGCAGCTCAGCCTCCCCCAGAGATCCCGGAAGGTCGCAGAGGAAGGTCAGCGGAGTCCCTCTAGTCCCATCCCTGCCGTGCGAGGCCCTTAACCACCACCAGGGGTCGCCGCCTGAGCGGTCAGTGCGTGCGGCCCCTGAAGCTGGGGGGGCCGGTGCTAAAAGTAAGTGGGTTCTCCAGAGAAATGACAAGTTCAGGGCCAGCACAGGCAAGGTGCAAACTGTCCCCGGAGCACCATTTTGCATAGAAAAGCAAGAAAATGGCTCAAAGAAGGATGGAAGCATACGGAAAGGGCACAAATGGCAGCTTTTGTGGGTTTCCACAGACCAAAGTGCGCCAATCCAGATGTGGAAACAGCGGCCTCCCTCAGATCCACAATCCGGGCTCCTGGAAGCAGCAGTCAGGGAAGAGGTCGAACCACACGTTGCATCGGGCAAAGCTGCCGCCTGGACTCTCTACAGTGCTGAAGGGCAAAGATGCCCGAGGATCAAGGCCATGTTGCCCTGGGGGTGGTATGGTGGGACACTGGGCAGCAAGGTCAAGTTCGAACCCACCAGCCACTCCAGGAGAGAAAGACAAGGTTTTCTACCCCCCATGAAGAGTTACTACCTCAGAAACCCACAGGAGCCGTTCTGCCCAGTCCTACAGGGTGGATGAGTCAGAAATGACTCAATGGTCCTGAAGAAGTGAGTGTGTGTGACCCAGCCACGGGCTTTTCAGTCATCTCACCGCAAGCGAAAGTTGGGACACCGAATACGGAAGCCTATAGAACTGTGTGTTTGAATTATAGTGCTGGCCAAGAACTGAGTGTGCCATGGACAACAAAACCCACGCTGATCTGTCTTGGAGGACATGCGGTCAGTGCTCTAGAAGTGAGGATGGTAAGACTCTGTCTCCTGTCCTTTGGACAGGTTGTCAGGAGACACTGGTCCCTGGAGAAGGACATCACCTTGGAAAGTGGAGGGGCAGCAAAAAGAGGAAGGCCCGGGATGAGGTGGGCTGACGCTGCAATGTAAGCCCCACTGTGAGGGTGGTAGGGGGCCAGGCCGTGTCTCATTGTGCTGTGCACAGGGCCGTTGGGTCGTGTCCCACTCAGGGGCACCGCACGACAGTCACAGCTCAAATCATCACGTAAAATGAGGATAGCGAAAGCGGGATGCTGAGACTTGGGTGTCGGTGTCACATTTGGAGGAAATTATTAAGAAAACATTCTACTAGGAAACAGGACTGTGGAGACAAATAAGGGGAAGAAAGCTTCTCCTCACGAACATCCTCTAAGTGCTCATGTTTTCGATCAGTTATTTCTCGGCAGAAATCTGTTGGGATGGATCACTGCCGAGAAATAACCGATTGAAAACATGACCACTTTAGCATCTATCCAAACACTAATGAATTCAACCGAGACATGACGGCCCTGCCATCAAGTAGACTGACTCGGAGATCCAACAGGACACAGTAGACTTGCTCCCCAGGGTTTCGGAGACTGTCAATCTTTACGAGGGCAGACAACCTCATCTTTCTCCCACTGAGGGAACAGTGGATTTGAACCTCAGACTTTGTGGTTAACAGCCCAGTGTCCACCCACAGCACGACCAGTGGATGTTGAATCTGGTGGCAGGTAAGAGGTGAATGAGGGAAAAACCATTTGCAGTCGAGGTGCCCAGGTTAATATCACAGTGATGAACTAAATCAAAATTGTGCCGCCTAATTGGATACCCTGGGGACATCACGTGCCCAGCGTAAATCTCATCTCGAGGAAACAGCAGGCAAACCCAAAGTGAGAGGGGCTTGACCAAAGAACTGCCCGGTACGCCCCAGAATGCCAAGGTGAGAGTTCCGAGAGTCAGACATGTCCCCGAGGAAAGCAGGCTTCAGAGAGCAACTAGATGCCACACGTGACCCCGGACGAGTCCTGCTCTAAGGGGCACGCACCATGGAGAAAGTAGCGTAACTAGCACAGGATCTGGGGGTTCAATAAAAGGGGGGGTTGCTTGTGGTTGACATTAGGGGCCATCTTGTCAATTCCAACTCACAGTTGGCCCATGTGACAGAACTGAATTTGTCTCGGTTGTGTGTGTGTGTGTGTGTGTGTGTGTGTGTGTGTGTGTGTGTG